TTTCTTTCTTTCTTTCTTTCTTTCTTTCTTTCTTTCTTTCTTTCTTTTTCTTTCTTTCAAATGAGTGGAAAGCAACATCTGCTTCCACAAATGCTTCCAGTTCCTTCCTGGGATTTTGATTTGGCTCCTCTGGATTACAATCTGCTTAGAGGAAGCCATTGTCTAAAGGTAGCTGCCTTCCTAGACTGTCCTCCCATCATACCTGATGCTGCACAAAAACCACCCTTTATATCAGAGATGTCCAACCTTGATAACTTTTAACATTTGGTCGGCTGGGGAACTCTGGGCATTGAAGTCCACAAGTCTTAAAAGTGGCCAAGGTTGGACACCCCTGCTTTAGACAATTCAGGACTAGAAATGCATCTAGTGCAGCTGCTCTGATTCCCTTAAACACGGCTCTTCAAAGTTGGCACCTTTAAAACTGATGGACTTCAATTCCCAGAATTCCCCAGCCGGTATGGCTGGCTGAGGAATTCTGGGAGTTGAAGTCCACAAGTCTTAAACGTACCAAGTTTGGAGACCTCTGCCCTTGAATACATCACACATGACCAATAGCTGGGCCTATTCTGCAAGCAACACTGAGGAACACGCGGCATTTCAGTGGAGGTTGCAAGAACTCTTAAGTGGACTTAAGCAATTGTCCTCCAACATGTTTTCCAAGATGATGGGCAAGAGGTGACTTTGTGCATATCAAGAGACCACAAACTTGCATTGTTTCTCTTTTTCCCCTTGCTGAACAGCAATAATAGGGGAATTGATAGGAAAGTGCTCAAAAAATGCCATGGCACAAAACTATTGAGGTGGGTACCATGAAATAAAGTACCAGCCAAAAGCTCTTCCCCTTCTGTGTCATTAAACAAACCACAATGGAAGCTTTGCTATGTTTGTCCACAATGATCTTTGGGGTATGGCTTGATAAATTTTCTATCTCATTTTCAGCTTCATTCCGCGTGATCCCCTCTCCGATCCCTCAGTATAGAAATAGAATTCAAAGGCCAATGTTTGCTCTCTCTATGTATGTATGTATGTATGTATGTATGTATGTATGTATGTATGGTATTCAGCTTTGTTCGGGTATTTTCCCATGTCATTGTAGTTGTGCTTTTAAAGTTGTAGCAACGTTTCGGCAGAATCTCATCTGCCATCATCAGGCTTCTGTATTGTGTTCATCTCATTGGGCTAAATCTACAATTCTTCCCTAAAAACTGAATTATAAGCATACAAGTGCAGCTTTCATACAATTTAAATACGGAGAAGAAATCTTAATTTTTGATCTCCTTTCAGTGTTTTTGCTCTACAACTCAGGAATTGCTTAAGAAGATACGCAAAGTAACTCCAAACCGTTCAGAAACAAGGCACTGGAAAGCAGATAATTACAGTACAATGCAGCTGACTGAATTCCTCATCAGTTTTCTTTGATTGCTGATTCAGACCAGGGGGGGAAAAAGTGCAGAAAAATTAAGTTATGGATAAAAGTCAGTACTATAGTTCAAGTCTGCTTAAAATGAGCATGAAAAACACGTAAGCTTGCATTGCAAAGACCCATCTTGAAAGATGGAGGTGCTTAATTTATCACTTGCATTGTCAATAAATTTCACTAGAATATCTTCCAAACAAAACTTGAACTACACATTTTTCAATCCACCTTTACCAACAACTGCTTACACGAGGAAAGGGTATCTGTAGAGTATCTGTAAGATCCAAAAAACCAAGATGTTGGCTGAGATAGTGCCATCAAAGCTTGATCTGTTTTTTGTTTTTTTTTGTATGTGTATGGCACTTCTGGTAAAACAAAAAACAGATGGGAATTTTGATACCACCACCGTGGCCGTACTCTGCAGATGCTCCAGACAATGAGGTCTGTCTTTATAATTTGCAAATTAGTGGAACCGAATCTGAACATTACTGCTTTTGTATCTTTGCTATGGATATCAGAGGGAGCATAATGGGAGGAGAAGCAGACAAGGCAACTGCCCTTGTTAATTGGTGCAATTCATCAAAAAGGAGGGGCTATAAATCTCTCCCATTAATTTCAATATACTGAAATCTCATATGTCCCCCGTCTCATTAGAGTTGAGAGCAGTACGGAGGAATTTTACATTGCTGCCTAGGGATTTCTAAAAGCTTTCATTACAAGCACAGGGCAAATTCAGTGCATATTATCCCTACATTTAAATTGGTTGCTCGTGAAAGTCATCTGGGATTCCTACGAAGCCTCCAGATTAAATCCTCAATATAAGGAGGGAAGGGGAAATCAAATGCATAGTAACTGTAAACATTTACCTTATACTATTCTTAGCAGGCTGATGACATTGGGTATGAGGCTATATAGCGCTTTCCAGCAGCTCATAATGAATTTCCCACTCATTCACTAATAATACTCAACTCCTCGGAGTCTGTATTATACGATTAACTTCCTACTGTGTTTAAAAATCGGTGATGCTAACGTTCGGTAAGCTTGTTCATAGCTCTTTTCTACGACATGGATGAAAGCCTCTAGTGCAGGGGTGTCAAACTTGCGGCGTATCGGGATGCCCCCCCTCCCCCTTCACTAAACTGGGCATGGGCGGGGGCAGTGTGTGATGCGTTTGGCCCACGGCCCGGGAGTTTGACAGCCCTGCTCTAGCGTGTTTAATCGAGCAGTCAACACAACTTCCTAACTATTTCAACAAGAGATGAAAAATTCGGAGGATATATGGGTCCACATGAGTGTAAAATTTCTTCCTTACTGTCCATAAAAACATTAAGCCATGAAGACAAGAGTCGGGGTTATGCAACTTGAAAATGCAACCTAGGTTGTCCAAATGGAGGCAGCCTCCATTTGGAACCCAATGCAGAAAAATAACCATTGGGTCAATGCTCTGTTATCATCACACAGTAAACAATTTTGCCTCAGATTTCAGCTAAAAATAGCATTTTAGGTCCCGGCTGCAGTTCCCCTTCAATGAAAGAAGTTCATTAAAACAGTCCGTTTCAAGAAATGTTTTGGACACGCAGGGGCATCTTGACATGATTCCAATGGAATTTACTTAAAATGTGTATATATATATGTGTGTGTGTGTGTGTGTGTGTGTGTGTGTTGCTAAGGGGCATGAAGAAATGAATTGGTATTGTACTGCGTAAGAGGTTTGAGGCATAACATCTTGCCGTGGTGCGAGGCTGGTTAAACTTTGCTAAAAGGCAAACATCTATTACAGTATATCCATTTCTCTCTCTCTTTCTCTTCCCTATTGCTAATAGGCGGGGAGGCCCGCCAGCCAAAATGGCACCAACCCAGATGCCTTGTTGATGTGGCTGCCCTTTGCACATCTTCCATTAGGGGCAAGTAACAATGAGCAAATAAAGGTTATGCCATTCAGAGCAAGGGTCTCCAACCTTAGCAACTTTGACACTTGTGGACTTCAACTCCCAGAATTTCTTGCAACGCTGGCTGAGGAATTCTGGGAGTTGAAGTCCACAAATCTTAAAGTTGCCAAGGTTGGAGGCCCCTGATACACACAACACCAATATAGCAGGGGTCAAGCAAGCAGCATCCATATAATATCAATGCAGGTTTTCACTTTTCTGAAGAAAATTTAAAAAAATATTTATACAGTCTATGTTGAAAAAGCGGAATAGCAAGAACATGTTATTCTTTCTCTAAACACCATTCACACGATGAAAGTATGAAAATGGATTCTGGTTGACAGGCACGGATCTTCCTAAGCCCGGTCAGTACGATACATTAATATTTCTTGAACAATTTGATTTATAACTTTTTTTTTAAATTTTATTACTTGAGGTAGTTTGGTTTTATTTTGGGGAAGCAAAACTTCCCTGTGTTGATTTCTATTTTATTGCCCCAATCCTGAGTAATCTGAGTAGTAGTGCAAACAGTTTTTTTATACCATATTTTTAAACAGTGTTTCTATTAAAATATATTGGCATAAGCTGCTTTTCCACCTGAATTCTTTCTCTCGTTTTCATTCTTATGAGTCAGTTTCAGGTGGGGAAATTAGAAAGGGCTCAGAAACAGCTCTTTATGACACTTTAAATTATGATAGATAAGAAACAAAGCCGCTGCAGAGAAAGACCTGGTCAGACAAATGTCACTTTTAAGCAAAGTGAGGGATAAATTGATAAAATAAAATAACTTCCTGCAAGAAAGCTGCCTTCTAAATAACCCAAATCAGCAATTTTTTTGCCTGATTTTTTTCCACACAGTTTGTCCAAGACGTTTTGATTATAAAACAATTTTGATTCTGTCAAATGTGTTTGGAGCTTTGCAAAAAGTAGGCTATTTTCCATAGCATGAAAATCCTCACCTATAAAATGATTGCGAACATACAGGTAATTATAATTCCAATTTGATATTAGAATACATCGGATACTTATCTTTTTTAAAAAAAGAAATCAGGGTTTAAAAAAAAATACAGTCTAGAAAAACTGGCGAAAATATTATTGGAAGATCTTAACACGAAGAGCTTCCAGGGACATAAATTAACTGAGGCAAATTTGGGATTTTTCAAAATCAAGGCCTTTTTAGGATAATCTGAACAAACTGAAGCTACAGTTGTATATACAGCATTGAAAGTCTGTGAGCCCCTCTTCAGAATTTGGGTTCAGGTGGATAAAGAACCCTCAGAAATACAAAGCATTTCAGATATGATGGTTTTAGAAGGTACTTGGTTACTAAACGCAATGCACTAGATTATCTGAAGGATTTAAAAGTCTTAAAAGTCTAACAAAAACACACAGATAACCATCAGTGGAGGATTGGGCTTTGACAAACCTGTAGACCAGGGGTATCTAACCTCGGCAACTTTAAAACCTATGGACTTCAACTCCCAGAATTCCCCAACCGATATTGCTGGCTGGAGAATTCTGTGAGTTGGAAGTCTGCAAGTCTTAAAAGTTGCCAAATTTGGACATCCCTGCTGTAGACTATTCAAAGTACCACTTAAGGGTTGAGCTGCAGTTCTTTCAAAAAGACTACTGAAGTATTTTGGCTGCCACCAAACTAATCCGTAGTGTTAAGTAACTCCCAATTTCTGTTTCTTATTTCAGTGCAAATTGTATGCCAATGGTATTCAACACTGCTTCCATGAAAACACTGGGTATTCCTCATCCTTAAATGCAGGATTACAATCCATTCCCATTAAAGTCTGACCTTCTTATTTTAGACATTCAAGACTGAAGACAAGCTATGAGCCCATCTTAGTCTCCATAACTAAGGGGAAGTTAGCAACAATTATCAGTCATGCAACTTGATTCATATCATGGTAAAGGAAGCACAAGAAGCTCATATCCCACTGAGATCCCCAAAGTCCTTGAGATCTGGCACAATGATGGAATCCAACTCCTCTTCAATTTTGGTTGCTCTCCTTAGTCTCTGCCCCATCTCCAAACCTCAGAGGTACATTTTGAGGGGGTGGCAGGCTGGGGGTGGGGGGGTGGGATTATTACTCTCCTATCCCATCATTCCTCTGATGATTCACCTGAAGTCCTCCATACAAACACAGCTAAACATATAAAGGTTCTATTCATAATTCTATGGAACTCAGATTGTAATCTTAGCCCAAAAAAAAGTAGTGCTGTTTTTTCTAAGAAAAACTTTCTACTGTAGCAATAGCACTTAGAGTTATATACTGCTTCACAGTGCTTTGCAGCACTCTCTAAGCAGTTTACAGAGTCAGCATATTGCCCCCCTAACAATCTGGGTCCTCATTTTGCCAACTTCGGAAGGATGGAAGGCTGAGTCGACCTTGAGCCAGTCAGGATCGAACTGCTGGCCATCGGCAGAGTTAGCCTGCAATACCGCATTCTAACCACTGCGCCACCACGGCTCTTTCACGGTCACTGATCTAGTACCAAGTGCAACCAATCCCAGGAACAAAATTCAGACGCATCTAAAAGATGTGTATATATGCCCTCTCCCGCTTCAATGACTAACCCTCTTCACCTTTATTTTGGAAACATCCCTGAGTTTCAAGTGTAATTCCTCCTACAAACTGTGAGAGAAACACAACAGCAACGCCCTTCCAGTCACTGCTCGCCCCAAGGCTCTTTGGATCCTGCCCCAAATGACTGACTTTCACATATTAAGGAAGTGAGAGAAGGGTAACAAATGCTTAAAAGTGCAGAACCGTCAGAAGGCATTGTGTTTGTGAGTTAAGTTGTGGCACGACGCAATTCCCGCCAGGGCCCAAATTTCAAAATCAATCATCGCTTACTATCATCATCATCATCTCTCTCTGTTAGGCAATTTCTTTCAATTACTGAACCCCTGCAAGAGAAATGGATATTCCAGTTACCCAAATAATAGGACGATTGCAAATGTTCCAACTGAAGCACAACGGAGACCCTGCGACTGAAGCATCAGGGCCAAGTTGCTAGTGCTTTGCTTGAGGCACAAAACGGAAACCACCTTTTAGTACATATCCTTGTATATTTCTTGTAGCAAAGGATGTAAGTGTGCATCAGATTCGGTCTTTTTGATGATTTGAACCAGGTGGGCGTGTTCCGTGACCAGCTGCCGGAGGTCCGCCATTTTCTGCAGAAGTTTAGGAAATAGGAAGATGTCGTCCGGATGGCTGTTCTCTAAATGAAGTTTCAGAATGTGCACGATGCTCTCCTGCATCTTCTCAATGTGTCCTATGTTTACCAAGCCTGGCCGATCTGTTCTCAGAAATAAGAACATTACGTTAGGTTATTCTTCCCCCCCCCAAATTGTTTTTTATTGATTACATATTAAAATATTGGACACAGTGTGACCATCCTGGCATTGTCTCATACACACTAACATATAAAGCAAATGACATTATGCTCCTCATGCATTGCTAATTTTATACTATTATTCCTATTAATCTTCTCATCATTCCTTATCACTCATCCCCTCCCACTTGTGACTGTATGACTGTAACCTTGTCACTTGTATCCTTACAATTTATATGGACTGTTTCCTAGTATGATTAGATTGCTGATTGTACCCTATGACTATTATCAAGTGTTGTACCTTATGATTCTTGACTCTTGACAAATGTATCTTTTTTTTTAATGTACACTGAGAGTATTTGCACCAAGACAAATTCCTTGTGTGTCCAATCACACTTGGCCAATAAAAGAATTCTATTCCTATTCCTATTCCTATTTCTATTCTATTTTATTCTATTCTATTCTATTCTATTCTATTCTATTCTATTCTATTCTATTCTATTCTATTCTATTCTATTCTATTCCTTATTGGGATACAAGCAACAAGGTTACAGTCATACAGTCATAAGTGGGAGGGGATGGGTGAAAGGAAGGATGGGAGCATTAATAGTACTAGTCATGCATGAAATAAAATCATATTTATAAAAAAAGAAAATCATATTTATAAAATTTCACTTTTTTCAGTGCCGTTGTAACTTCGAACGGCCACTAAACGAACCTTTGTAAGTCAAGGGCTACCTGCATTATGAGCTCTTTCATATGAAAACATCAGGGTGCAAACATGGAACACTCCTGCCGCTGCCAGAAAAATAATCGCACTAATTCTGGTAAAGTATTTGCAATAAATAACAGATTCAAAATACCCTGTTGAGACTGAAATGGGTCCCTTTCTGAGCTGAAAGCAGAAAAGAGGCCTATTCCATAAAATATATTGCTATTCCAGGAAGGACAATGGGTGAATCAAGGGTTACCTCCACAACATATTATAGCAGCCACGAAGAGGGAGATGTCGCTGTCATCTAATTCCAAGGCATTGAATTTCATGGCGAAGTCAAACTTTGGCTCCATGATGTCACAAAAGGGCTTCCTTAAACTTTTGAGGAATTCCCGCGTGATGAAGCCGTTCCCGTAAGCCACCAGCATCCCGTCTTTGTTCATCACGGAGGCCAACATGGCAAAGATGGCTTCGTAGACCCCGTATTTTAAGAGGGTCACCTGGTCGTTCAAGTCGAGGCTGCAGAAGCCTGGAATTGATTTGGCAAACTCCGTGAGTTCCGTCACCGCCTCTACGGAGGTGCACTGGCAGCAGTGGAAAATCCTCACCTCTGCCTCCTTGTTTTGTATTCCATTCGCGACGAGTTTTGCCACCAGAGTCTTCTCGGCCATGCACAACGTGTCCATGTCGTGTATGACAAACGGCTGCAGCGGAATAAAAAAAAGCACCTTATGGAGAGTTTTGCAGCGATAATTCAGCGTCAGAAAAATAAACACAGATGCTTCATTTAACATCTTTATAAACATAATAAATAGATTTTACAAACCAGTTGAAGGTTTCTCCAACATGGAGCAAACTCAAACAGAAACAGGTTGCAAGTTCAGAGTAGAGCTCCAGTCTTCAGCAAGCAAGTTAGTTTTACGTTCAATAGACAAGACTCAGAGCTTAACATAGCTGCAGAGTTGCAGAACTTAACACAGCATAACATTTTAGTTTCAGTTTCCAGCCTAGGTTACTTCTAGTTTCAGTTTCCAAACTATCCCCATTGGCTGATTTAGTTGCTATGCGTATTCATTGGCTGACCTTGTTACCAAGCTCTATTCCAGTTCATGAATATACTGACACGCCTGAATTAAGCAACCACCAGGGAACAATACGGTGCAAATCAATTTGTGCTTGCAAGAAATTCTCTTCTGGAAGCCATTGTTACAGATTCATGTGGAATCCGCAAAGAACAATACAGTAACTTAAGGAACTTTAATTTTGACAGCAACATGGGTCATTTCACATACCTGGTATTTCTGATTTGGATACTCTGTGGCTGTGCTTGCAATTTAGTCACACTAAAAAAAAAAGTCTGATGAAAATGGTTATTGGAGTCCTCGGTGGCCTGTGTGCTCATGTAAAAGAGGGAACAGTTTGCCTGAGGCAGGAAGTGCGGGGTTGACTTTAGAGGAAAAAGAGCTACAGGCAGGCAAACTCTGTTAGAGCATGAGTGGGGAAACTATGGCCCCTATTACACCTTGTGGACTTCAACTCCCAGAATGCCTGAGCCAGACATGCTCTATTTTGGATCACTGCACAGTAGCAATAGCACTTAAGACTTATATACCACTTCAAGTTGCTTTACGGCCCTCTCTAAGCGGTTTACAGAGTCAGCCTGTTGCCCCCCAACAATCTGGGTCCTCATTTTACCCACCTTGGAAGGCTGAGTCAACCTTGAGATTGGTGAGATTTGAACTGCAAAATTGCAGGTAGCTGGCAGGCAGCAGAAGTAGCCTGCAGTACTGCATTCTAACCACTGCGCCACCACAGCTCATCACAATCACGACAATTTACCCAGTTACCCAAACTAAAATATCTAGGAGTGTTTATGTTTCACTTGGATACTGTCTTACCTTCCCGCCATCTAACAGGATTTTAAAACACATTAATAGGAAGACTGCTTCTACAGATAGTCTTTGACTTACGATAATAATAGCAATAGCACTTATATGACGCTTCGAGGTGCTTTTACAGCCCTCTCTAAGAGATTTACCGAGTCAGTATATTGCCCCCAACAATCTGGGTCCTCATTTTACTGACCTCGGAAGGATAGAAGGCTGAGTCAACCATGAATCAGTGAGATTTGAACTGACAAATTGCAGTCAGCCAGCAGTCAGCAGAAGTAACCTGCAGTACTGCACTCTAACCACTGCACCACCGTGGCTCATAATGGAGTATGATGGTCGTAAATCAGATCACCCATGTGTCTGACCCAATTTTTGACTATTTTTTTTTTGGCAGGGATCGTTAGGTGAATGTGGCAGTTGTAAGAGCATCCACTGTCATCGTTAAGTGAATGCCACCGCCATTAAGTAGACGGTGGTTCGCTATGGGCCAATTTTGCCGAAAACTGGAAGTAAATGACCGCAGGACACTGCAAACGTCTGTGAATCAGGGCCAGCTGGCTGAGCACCCAACATATGGTCCCATGACTGGGGTGGCTAGTGGGGGGAGGCAGTTGTTGAAACTTTGGAAATAAGTCCATCGTAACTTTAAACCAGTCGTAAGTCGAGGACTACCTGTAAGTGATATTTTTCTTACCCCTTTTGTATAGTTGTTCCAGAAACACTAAATAGCTTTGCGAAATTGATTTCTATTTACCTGATCATCACAGAAACAATATTCAGAACAATTCAGAATCTACAGAACCACAGCATCATGAACTGGACTATCTTTCTAATCTCTGCGGATGAAAAAAAAAACCAGTGCCTCTATTTTCATTTTGAGAATAGTCTGAATTCTCTTTGGTCTTTGCTTCTACAAGTTACATTCACATACTCTAAAGTAGCTTCCTGGCTAGTTTTAAAAGAAAACAGGTGTGTGTAATCCTAGCTGAGTGTTCAAGAAAGAAAATCATACATAAATTTTATTCTAAAATAAAAAGCTTGGATTAACTGGGAGCTGGAAGGTCTGCTTAATCATCCTATTGCAAAAATTAACAGGGCATTCCCTGGTTTTTCCAGCATGCTCAATTTAAATGAAATGTTAGGTAAACTCAGTTCTTCCACAGGAAATAACTGCAGAAACTAATGGTTTAGAATTTAAGTTCACGCATGTGGCTATTCCTAGCTAAACATTTCCCAAACATGTGTCTTAAGTATTGCTGATTCAACAAGTGAGGTTTAACAGGTTGAATTCTCTCCAAATTATACCCACAAGAACCAAAATGTTACAATCTGTCACTTATCTTAAGCGCTATAGATTATCTGCATTGCAAAAAGAACATATGGAGAGGGTGTTATGGTTTTCATTTTCTTGATAAGCTGTTGAGGTTGCTTCCTGAAGACTGAGACTATACATTATTAAAACATCTGGAAAAATAAAGCTGTCATTCAACTACAGAAACTTTGACCTTGAAAACAAATTAAGCAACTTGGTATATTTACATATGGGTAAGTTGTCAGGGCTAATCAAAACTTTTTTAATATAAGGACCTACGTGTATCACAAAGAAAACTACTGTCAGAGAGAACATCTCTATCACTGCTTTATAAGTCTATTTCTTCTCTTATATGTGCATCCGTGCACCATTCATATAGTTTGCTTTTATGCAATTCTGCGACTGTGCATACTTACAGGATTGTTATTGGCCTTCCCCACAAGTATGAGCCTTGCTTTGAGCTTGGTCATATTGAAGTTTTTCAAATAGGCGTCATAAATTCTCTTGGCCAGTGACTTAAGATCTGCGACTTCGGAATTTTCTATACAAAGTTCACCTGTTTGAATTTCAGCTTTCAGCTTTGCCTTTTCTGATCTGGGCATCCGTCCAAATCGAATGGCTGAGAGGAAAACAAGCATTGAAAAAGGAGCATAACAATACATCACAGAACCTTCTCACAAACAGAGATTGCTCCCCACTCTGGGCTCAACCGAATGTCGGGTTGGGTTAAGGACTGGGTAGACCAGCGTTTTCCAAATTTGGCAGCTTTAAAAGGGGTGGAATTCAACTCCCGAAATTACCCAGGTAACACCGCAAAGTTGCCAAGTTTGAAAAACACCGGTGTAGACACATTGAACTTTAATAGTGCGATGGGAGAACAATCCAGAGTTACTTACAGCTTACCAATGATTTAGTCATCCCTTTTATCTGCATTTATCTACAACCAGTCTCTTCTAAATAAATCCTGAACATAGCAAGACTATACTCATCATAAAGGTAACGGGACTCAACATGAGCTAGTCATCTTTCCCTTCATTTCAAAGGCACAACTGAAATTGAGTCCAATTTCCTAACAGTTTGCAATCCTACTTGATGGCCTGCTCTAGCTCACTGTGGTCAAACTCAAGGAACACAAAAACAGAACAAAACTCAGAGGACACACACACACACAAAAGAGAGTGTTACATCCACAGAAAGATCAAGGTGAGGAGAAGGAAAGAGGAACATATACAGATGTTAAAAGCTCTGTGGAGACATGGTGAAAAGTATGGCTAAAAGCTAGTGTTGCAAAGAATTCTATGATGATTATATGTATTTTAATATAAAATGCAGAAGGGAAAAAACGGTAATCAAGAAAGAAGACATTCTTTCTTCTTTTTCTTACTTTATATAAATTTTAATCTGTTTTTATTTTCCTTTTTAAAAATCTTTAATAAAATCATGTATAAAACTCAGAAGGAAAATATCAGAAAGCCTAACACAGTGTTTTCCAGCCATAGCCATTCGAATGTGTTTTGACTCCCAGAATAACCCAGCCAGCATTGAAATTTTGGAAGTTGAAGTCCACGCATCTTAAGCTGCTAGCTTGAAAAACACCAATAGATTTAAGAAGAGTGAGTCAACACAGGCCATGCAAGGGGTTAAACTCAACGTAATAATCCCCTTGCAGTATTATCTTGAGTTAATAAGCATCTATACTCAGATGTCCTTCTTCACCTGAACCCAAGAGGTTGCAAAGGAGCCTCCTAAAATGAGGACCTGAGTTTTATCTTTCTGGCTCTCAAGGAGTCAGACCCTTTTTCCACACTACAGAATGAGGATAGATTTAGGCTTAGCACATGTGCTGTTATCTTCCTCTAATCCAGGGGTCTTCAAACTTGACAGCTTTAAGACTTGTGGACTACGACTCCCAGAATTCCTCCTCCAATCATGTTAGCTCAGGAATTCTGGGAGTTGGTCCACAAGTCTTAAACTTGCCAAGTTTGAAGACCCTTGCTCTAATCCTAAAAACAGGAAGTAGCTCTCAGTGAATGCAAAAGCCAATTCTGTTGGAACAGGCAAACCAAAATAACATAGGCACTATGCATCACCAATACTACACACATTTGCAAGGTCTGTTGCACCTTCTCAGGCTTTCTCAGGATGCAGTTCTGAGATCCAAGATGTGACAACGCAGAGGGAGGGCTCTGTGTTTTTTGCAGCTCTGTGGCTCCAAAGTTTTCCTGAAGTGAAGCTTGAGAATTTCACCAAAGTGGTCTGAGATTCTTTCCCATGTGGGAAAGTATTCAGTAATCAGAGATGGAAAAAGAGATTCTCTTTCACAGCAGTTTTATATTTAGACTTCTTAAATGCCATGTCTCCCATTTCTAAACTTGTTACCTGCTTCTCTCTCTGTCTCTATCTCTAGGTATGACAAGGGAAGATCTGTGATGAAATAACTGAATATGTTCCTTTTGTATTTATGGGAGAAAGGCTGGCATAACGTTAAAGTTCCAAAATCCTGCATCAAATTGAAGGATGGTTACTGATGCTTGAAAGCTGGAGGTAGGACACAGAATGTTTTCAGTCTGAAACCTTTATCTATGGAACAGATGCACCTATTACATTGTGCCAGGAATTCCTTAGAAAGGATTTGCTATTCTTGTCAGACACCTCCGGCACAAAGAAATTCTAAGACAAAATATGGTGCTGCCTATGATTTAGGATTAAGGTAGCTTACTATTCCGCAAACCATGAGGAAATGTTAAACTAATCCTGCAAGTCTTGAGGGATTTACATCGTAGCCTCTGTTGGATCTGCAGTGTGCGATGGCAGAAACAGAACAGAATAGAGTTCTTTATTGGCCAACGGTGATTAGACACACACAAGGAATTTGTCCCTGGTGCATAAGCTCTCAGTGTACATACGAGCAACAAGTGATCAACCTTGATCACAATCATAAAATACGATCATCGTAAATCGTAAGGTACAACTCTCAGTGATAAGTCACAGGATACTAACAGGATACTAAGTAAGCAAACAACGTAAATCATAATAGGATACTAAATAAAGGCAATCGACACAAATCATGAAATACAAAGAACAAAGTGATAGTCAGAAGAAGCTAAGGAAATAGGTAATAGGAAAGATGAAAAGATGAGGAGGGTAATAGGTAATACAGCCCTACTAGGTGGTTAGTAGTTTAGCAGAGTGATAGTATTGCGGGGAGGGGGGGGGAGGTAACTGTCTTTGTGTCTGGTTGTTTTGGTGTGCAACACCCTATAAGCATCGTCTTGAGGGAAGAAGTTTATGTCCAGGACACGAGGGGTCGGTAGATATTTTCCCAGCCCTCTCTCTGACTCATGCGGTATACAGGTCCTTGAGGGAAGGCAGGCTGGTTGCAATTATTTTTTCTGCAGTCCGCTGAAGTCTGCGTCTGTCTTGTTTGGTTGCTGTGCCAAACCAGACAGTTATAGAGATACAGACTCGATCATTCCTTTGCAGGACTGTATCAGCAGCTCCTTGGGCAACCCGAGAAGCTTAAAATAAACCTAAGGATATATATCCAGTTTTTACAGACGAAGAGACCAAAAATAAGACCTATGCTGCACCGATTTGTACACGGAAGTATCTTGAGGAAGGAAAAACAGAATGATTAACCCGTCTGGCGGGATGTCATCAGACCTCTCCTTCCCTGCACTAAAAAGGTGGCCCAAGGCCAGCTGGGATTTAGTTGCTGCTGTTAGGTCATGACACAGCAAGGATTTAATTCCACATCAAGCTTTGCAATTGCTCAATTAAAAACAAAAAGCATCTACCTGACCTTTGGACTTTTCAGTATAGTGTACTGCTATATTCAAAGAACATAAATGGAAAGAAAGAGTGCTAAACAAAATGCCATGACATATATGTTAATGCATAACATTTGTGCACAGTTACCTATTAACCGAAGGTTGCAAAAATGTTTGTGCAAAGGGCCTCGTTACGTGTGTACTGATTTCTCCTTCCCCAGAACAAGTGGCAAAGGAGTCTACCACAGCATGGATGGATCTGGCCCCTTCTGCCTTCTTGCTCCCCGTGGAGGGAATCTCAGCTGGCCCATACAGAACTGAGGGATACCCTTACCTACCATTATGGGACATCCCCACGGAAAGGCACTTCTGAAAACGACAGTATTGGCACTTGTTACGGTTCTTTTTCTGGATTTTGCAGTTGCGGTCGCATCGGTCGTAAATAAGTTTCAGCCTGATTGTTCGCCTGAAAAAGCCCTGAGGACAAGATTCAGGAAACAAAACGTGAATAGTCAGAAAAGGAGAACTGATCCATCCTTCAAGGGGGAATCAATCTGAAGTTTTAAGCACAACCCCTAGTACTAAGACCACTGCAATATGGGAAGTAAATACAGCTAGGCCAGAGTTTTGCTTTCGATAGACAAATAAAAGATAGCCAAAAGTAAAGCTGACTGTAACAGAATATAATGGAATGACAGAGTTCGAAGGGTCCTTGGAGGTTGTCTAGTCCAACCCCCCTGGTCAGGCAGGAAACTCTATATCATTTCAGGCAAATGGTTATCCAATCTCTTCTTAAAAACCTCCAGGGATGGGGCACCCACAACTTCTGAAGGCAAGTGGCTCCAATGATTGTTTTCACTGTTAGGAAACTTCTCCTGAGTTCTAGGTTGGTTCTCTGCTTAATTAGTTTCCATCCATTGTTTCTTGTCCTGCCTTCAGGAGATTTTGAGAACAATTTGACCGCCCGCCCCCTCTTCTTTGTGGCAGACCCTGAGATATTGGGACACTGCTATTCTATCATCCCAAGTCCTTCTTCCTCTTAAACCAGAAACACCCAATTCCTGCAACCGTTCCTCGTATGTTATCCTCCAGTCCCCTAATCGTCTTTGTCGGTTTTCCCTGCACTCTTTCTAGAGTCCCAATAGCTTTTTTTTATACCGTGATGACCAGTTTACATTAAAGAAATATCCAGGGGTGGGATTTAAATTTTTAACAACCAGTTCTGTGGCCATGGCTTAGTTGGTGGGCATGGCTTGGTGGTCATGTGACTGGGTGGACGTGGATTGGTGGTCATGTTATAGCCTGGGTTTGGTCAACTCAACATCTTTCACATTGAGGCACACATCTCCTCGCCTGGCCTCTCGTGACTGTGGGGATGCTGCAACAGTTGTAAGTGTGAAAACTGGGTCATACGTCACTTTTTTCAGTGCCATTGTAACTTTGAATGGTCACTCCACACAAGCAAAGTACCAGCAAAAGTGGAAAAAAAAAAACTCCAGAGATGTTCCTGAGACAGGAAGTCTAGTCCTGCCAAGAATGTAAGAAGGGTTAACGGAGAGGCAGTTTCTGTAAGCAACACCAGAATGTTTCCTTCCTGCCTTCCTTACAGGATTAGGCCAGTAATTTCTTCTAACAACCGGTTCTCCAAACTGCTTAGAATGTTAACAACCGGTTCTAGCGAATAGGTGCGAACTGGTAGAATCCCACCCCTGGAAATATCCCATCGTCATGGAAAATGCTAAAGTCACCACTATACAAGAACAATAATAACCCTTTTTGAGTATTCCACATAAAGGTAGTCCTCAATTTACTACTATCTATTTGGGGACCATTCCAAAGTTACAACGGCACTGAAGAGAGTGACTTAGGACTGCCCCTCAAATTTACAACCGTCGTAGCACCCTCATGGTCATGTGATCAAAATTTGGTTACTTGGCAACCAAGCATGGATTTAGGCCTTATAGCCATGTTGGCGAACCTATGCCACGCGTACCAGAAGTGGCACGCAGAGCCATTTCCCCCAGCATGTGAGAGGTTGCCTGGAAGAGTCTCAATGCGCATGAGCGGGCACTGCCGCCGCCCAACAGCTGATTGTTGGGTATTTGGCATGCAGGCGCAGGGCGCGTGCGTGGGAGATGTGCGCGCATGCGCAGGGATGCACCGCACGCGAGGGGAATCACGTGCACATGTGCAGTGATGCGTTGCATGTGAGGGGATCACGTGTGCATGCACAGACATGCATTGCGCGAGGGGGAAATCCCATGCGCATGTGCAGATGCGTGAGGCGCAAGGAGGGAGTCTTGCGCACATGCACGCAAAGGGGGTTACGTGCACATGTGCAGGTGGCATGGGGGCCCCCCCCAGCATGCATTGCCTTTTGGGTACTGGCACACGAGCGTGCGCAAATGAGCATGCACGCAATTATCAGCACGGGAGCTGAAAAAGGTTAGCCACCACTGCCTTATAGGGCCATGGTTGTCATTTGCAACCGTCCCAGCCAGGTCTGACAAGCAAATGTGGGAAATGGGATTCGCTCAATGGCCATGTGATTCACCCTGGCAGAAAAGGTCGTAAAGTCAGACATGACTCACTCAACAACCCTCTTGCTGAGAAATGGAACTTCTGGTCCCAACTGTGGTCGTAATTCGAGGACTTTCCTATGTAGTAAACTCCTTCGGAATTGTATGAGTAGAATATGTCAGACACAACTTTTTCACTTCATAAAATATCAGCAGATGACAGGGCTTTTCAACAGTTCTTAATCTAATGGGCATTTCTGCATTAATCAATAGAACCAAAATCAACATTTTTCAGGAGCTTAATCTGCTCCCAGCTTTTCCAGACGTAGTTTCAAAGGTCACAAATCCAGTCACATGGGGACGCCTATTAGTAAACAGCTAAAGCCCTCCTCTTCAATGTGCCTGCTACATTCCTGGAAAACGCAGATTTTGGAGGACATGGTTAAGAAATAGGGATTGCTCTACCTGGAAAGGAAAATGGCCTGAGGTCCCTTAAACCTTTTTGATAGCTGCGTGTACACAAAACAACATGTATTCTCCACAAAACATGTTCTATCTACACAATGAGGTTGAAAGGTTTTTATTTTTCTCCATAGCTCTGCTAACAACTGCTCTCTTATGCTATCATCCACACATATCATATAATGATACTGGCTCGATACCAGGAGTGGGATTCAATTTTTTTAAATAAACGGTTCTGTGGGCGTGGCTTAGTTGTGGGCGTGGCTTGGTGGTCATGTGACTGGGTGGACATGGCTTGGTGGTCATGTTATTGACTGGATGTGGCCAACTCAATATCTCTCACATCGAGGCACGCATCTCTTCGCCTGGCCTCTCAAGACTGTGGGGATGCTGCAATAGTCGTAAGTGTGAAAAATGGTCATAAGTCACTTTTTTCAATGGTCACTCCACACAAGCAAAGTACCAGCAAAGGAGGGGAAAAAAACTCCAGAGAAGTTCCTGAGACAGGAGGTCTAGTCCTGCCAAGAATATAATAAGGGTTAACGGAGAGGCAGTTTCTGTAAGCAACACCAGAATGTTTCCTTCCTGCCTTCCTTACAGGATTAGGCCAGTAATTTCTTCTAACAGCCGGTTCTCCGAACTGCTTAGAATGTTAACAACCGGTTCTAGCGAATAGGTGTGAACTGGTAGAATCCCAGCTCAATACCCGTGCTTTGCTACAAAACTATGTGGTCGGACTTAGTTTTTGGAGAGGAAAATAAGGAGGGGGGGAGGGAATCTGCCTCTGCCTACCAGCATCCATCGGTATTCATCTGGCTAGCGTCCTCTCAGTGTGTGAGGGAGTTGAGGGCTGTATGGAAACTGAAGCAGTATTTGCTGTATGAGCAAAAAGGAGACAGCAAGGAGCCTGGGCGTGGCTTAGCTCAACTGTTCTATAATAAAGCTGCTTGGTGCTGTGAAACTGAAACTCCTCTCCTCAACTTGTGTTTTGCATTTGGAACAGATTTCTTTTCAGATGGGGAGGGGGAGTAGAACTCCTTAGCATCAGAGCATGTTAATAATAATATTGGAAATACTAATGCTGTGATGGTCATTTCGAAAAATCCTTTCTTAGTGAGCACCTAGAAGGCAAGAGGAACATACGTGCCAAATTTCAAGTTTGTAGGCTTTACGGTTCTGGAGATTTTGTGATGATACATGAGTGATATTTTGCTGATAGATAGATAGATAGATAGATAGATAGATAGATAGATAGATAGAT